AACAACTCTATAGTACTAATGACATATTGGTTCGTTATGGTTGAATTGAATTTTAATGAAAAATTTTACTTTTTTTTCCTTGATTTCGTAAGTATACCGTTCAATCCTTTATTGCGACATAAATGATTAAGACACTTATTTATAAATAAGAACATAATCTATGAGCTTTTTCTCAATTAACAGAAGTTGCTTTTGTTGCCGAACTAAATTATAATTGGCGCTATGTCTATCAAGTGATTCAATTAGTATAGACTACGAATAAGAAATAAATACAAATTTTTCGTCTTTATTTTGTTTTCCTTCATTTAAGATAAAGTTTTACTTTTAGATCGCTGGTTAGTTGGGGCAAATAAGTTCGATAATTGAACGGCACCTAACCTATCCTTATCATAATTTCATCATTAATTCTAACAAATGTGTCTTCAATTAATATTGATATAGAAATTGAAGATTATCGGATAATCATGAACACTCGATGAAACAATAAAAAATATGGAAACAACATCCTTGGAATATAGGAAATAACATGCAAAAAGTATCAAGATGTATTTATACATTAGAAGATTTTACTGAAACAGATATTAATTCAAATATTATAATTACTTCAAATTACTTAATTTATCTTATTAAATATTGCTGATAAAAAATAATAATAAATTGTTGTTGTTAACTAACTCCATCTAAACGTCTGTTAGAAACAACCAATAGATTTAATTTCATTCAATCTTCTCTCTCTTTCTTTCTTTCTATATCATATCATAGACATATTGACTTCGAATGACCCTAGATAAACCTTTTGCATTGTTATTTTTATCTTTTTTTTTATATGTAGGGCGTATATAATCATTTCTAGTCGTTATTCTTGCTCTGTGTTGTTCTTTTTTTTTTAAGCAAATAAAAAATGTCTTTCAACACAAGTAACATAGTCGTATTCTCCATTTTCTTTTTAGCTGGTGCAATTTTATTGAATTCAAAAGGACGACAACACATGGCTACTATATTACAATTTGGTAAATCACTCTTTTCTGCTCGTCAAACACACATTAATGATCCAGCTAGTCGACCTTCACTTTATGAACGTCAATTTACCGACATCAAAGGTCAACCATTGGATATGAATGAATTGCGTGGCAAAGTTATTTTACTTGTTAATACAGCTAGTGAATGTGGATATACACCTCAATTACATACGTTACAAGAATTACACGATAAATATAAAGATAGAGGCTTTACTGTACTGGTACGAATTCTATTTCTTTCTTCATATTATATTTAAATATATTCTAAATTGATTTGAAAACTTAAACAGAATCAAAGACGATCTAAAAAAAAGGACTTTTTCGTTTTCTTTCTTAGGGTGTGCCATGTAATAATTTTGGTAAACAAGAACCAGGTGATGAACCACAAGTATGTTCATTATATGCAAGTAAATTTAAAACAACATTTCCTTTAACAACTAAACAAGATAAAGATAAACCAAGTGAAGTATTTCAATGGATTATTGATGCTGGTGGAAATGATGTATTACCTAAATGGAATTTTCATAAATATCTTATTGATCGACAAGGTCATCTAGTTGCTGCTTGGAATAGTCGAGTTAAACCGTTAGATGAAGAAATTACAAAAGGCATTGAATCAATTCTCTAACTATATTTTAAAGTTTCATTGATATTTTTTTTTTCTTTATTACATGTTCTTCAAAAAGAAAATAAAAAAAAAAGTCAAAAATGTATTATATTTATTTAGTTGATATGTCCGTGGAACGATGTTGCGTTATGTCTTTTTTCTTTGGTAGTTTACGTATTGTTTTTCTTTTCGATAATAATTTATGAAGTTCACATTTAAGTAGAACTACATCAGTCAAATTTATGTCACGTCCATTGACAATATATTGTAGATTTGTGTCATTCTCTAACATTCTATTTAGTTCAAGTAAAGCTTTGCCATGATAACTATTTAATGGTGTACGCCATTTTTCAAGGTTGTTTGTACGACACCAATTTTGAATATCTTCAGAGGTCCATTTAGCTATTGGTTTTTTTTTCAAATTTGCGTCTTTATCTAATGGATTAGTTTCTATTGTTATTGATATTGTTCCTTGTGATTCATTTAAATCAAGTGGTGATTTTGGTTGTTCATGCTTAGCACTACGTAAATTCTTGATTAAACGTTGTAATTCATCATTTTTATAAATTTTATAAAAATGACTGTAACCAATATTGAATAGTACCCAATCAAAGGTATGTCTTTGAAAATCTTCTTGAACAAAAACAGGATAAACTTTAATACTTTTGGTTATAGCAAATTGCCATTCACGTCGACAAAAATCTGATGTACAATATGCATTACTAAGAAGAACAAAAACAACTTTTGATTGTCGAATAGCACTTGTTATTGTATCAACCATATCATCTCTCATATAACTTCTATCAACCCAAACATTTGTAAAAAGATGGGCTTGTTCTAATGCTTGAACCAATCTATCACATTGAACTTTATCACGATGACTATAGGAAATAAACGCTTGTCGACTATTCGTATCAATTGAAACTTAAAAAAAAAAAAAACAAACGAAAAAAATAATCGTTTCTAAGAAGATTTTATTCCTTACTTAGAGGCTCGTATTGCTGTTCGGGTGCAAGATTTTGACGAATTTGTTCGATAATTTTTTTCATTCTTGGATCACTAGCAAATAAAGCAGGAGCTTTAGTTGTTAAAAATTCGTTTAATTCGATATTATTTTTAAGGCCTTGTTTCATATCTGGTGATGAAGAAATTTTACGAAGAATTTTAAGTGCATTTAAATGACGTTGTTCTGCGTAATGAACAATTTTTGATATATATGGAATCGTTGGTCCTTTAACAAAATCTTGGACAAGAAATCGAAGTAAATAACGGAGAAGTAGTTCGAATGATATTCCTTTATATTGCAAATTTTCTTGAGCAACTGCTTGATCAATAAAATCAAATATAATTTTTACTATATCTTGAGCCATATTGAGTTTTTTCTTTTGTAAAACTGAAAAATCGTGAAAATCCATTGTACATGATAATGTTGACATGGCCATAAAACGAAGACGATCATATTTTGCATCAATATAAGGAATTATTATTTGAGATGTATTTAATTGTTGATCTCTATTAGAATTTTTCTTTTGAGATGTCTTCAAGTTTTCATCTACTATTGGAGTTAACTTGCCATCTTTCACTACACTCGAACGCAATAGACGAAGAACTTGATTTGGTTCATCCAATGACGAAGATGTATTATTATTTTCATTATCATCATCATCATCATTATCATTTAGATCTATTGATGTAGCATACCATTTGTTAAGAAATATAAGTGCCACATCAACTAACGAAGTAATATCATTTGAATCTGATCGAATTGCTGTATCTCGAAGAATGTTTGATCCTAGTAACCGAATAATTATTAAAGAAAATAGATCAATATTAAATGGATTTGCTTGTTGTGCATCATCATCATTTGTATTTGCTAATGCTCTATTAATAATATGAATCCAATTTTCCGTAGGAACACAATTAGTAAGTAAGGCAAGAATACCACGAAGACAATAAAGAAATGATTTATTTCGTTCGAAATTTTTCTGACTTAACACAATTCGAATATATTTTGCAAGTAAACAAATATATTTTTTGTTATCATCATTTTTTAAATATCCTCTATTTTCATCGAATGATGCAACCGCAAATGTACAACAACCAATAAAAAATCTATGACGATAACTGACATGCATATTTTTATTTGTATTATTATTTGAGTTCATATTATATAAATAATTTTTAGCATGAAAATGAGTAAGGCATAAATTAAGTTCATTATTAAGATTTTTTGGAGGTGGATTAAGATCTCTGAAACATAATCGATACGCAAGTGATCGTGCATCAAGCATACGCATAAGATAAATTAGCATTTCATCTTCTTCAGTTGTATTATCATTAGATGGTTGTTCATCACGAACAAATATAACAGCTTGTTTTAAATCTTCAATTTGTTTTGTTCGAAATAAACATGTACGAAATAATTCAATAATATCTTCATTATTTATTATTAGTTGTGAATCAAAAACACAATATTCAACAAAATATAATTGAAGATTTGAATATAAATCAATAAATTTTTTTTCTTCATTCGGTAATCTATCATTTGATATCCATTTTTTAATAATATCATTAATTTTTGAATCAAAACGACGATCTAATGTTCTACCAATAGTTAAATAATCTTTTGACTTTTCAAGTTCTTGTAATTGTGATAATAATGAATTAAAATCATTATTATATGTCATTCTTATCTACAAAAAGAAATCTGTAATTGTAAACTCGTTCGTAATCTTATTAGTAAAAACAATTGTCTGTTATTGATGTTGATGTTGAAACAAACTCTATAACAAAATGCAAACGTAACTAAGATACTGTTACTTTCTTTCTTTCTTGGCTCTTTAAGTATTTGTAGAAGGATGAGACGAAAAAGAAAAAGAATGAAAAAATCTCTTCTCAATAGTAAAATACAACAAAGAGAAAACATAAAATTGTCAAGTGTACGTTACATAATAGTCTCCATCAATGTAACAGTTAACACCACAAAAATTCAGCCTTAAGATGATGAAATTTTGTTGTCATTTTGATTTCACTACGTAAATCAAAATTGAATTCAAAAGAAAGAAATCACCAAATATTCTTCATACTTCCACTAAAAAAAGTATGACCTTCTTCAATGAATCCATAAAATTGCAATCGATTAATTTCATCGTCTTTCTGTTCTCACTTTTTTTTAACCGCATACAATTCTATTGTTACATTACTTGCCAATTCTTCAAGAAGTTCTCTATTCGAATACAGTATTATTATTTACGATATGAACTATCTTGACACATGCAATACTAAGATAATGCAAGAAAGAATTATGTTCTTTATTATTAAAAAAACACGAAATAAGATAGAGGAAATAAAATCATCTTTATCTATGATTCCATTTACAGCAATCGTTGATGTTCTTCTGATGAAAGATGATTACTATTGAGACCAAATTGTGATTCGTTTTCTATTCCACTTGATGTTGAATTCCTATTTGAAACTAAGAATAGATCAATTAAAACAATATATAAAATAGATAGATACGTACTTTCAGTATTTGCACCAAGTTCAAATGTTGAATCATGTAATCGTGTATATTCATAATCATCATCAAAATGTCGAGTATTTGAATCAGAACCATTGTTTGACATAAAATATAGACATAAAGAAAAACTAATCACAATACAGATGACAATAATAATAAATAAAGCTGCATGAACAGGTCGTTGATGAAATCGATACCAGATCATATTAGAAGATATAAAGCTTTTTATCTAAAATATTCAAATTACCTATACGATCTTTTATACTCATTTAAATTACCGAAGATATAAATGGAGGTTTTGTTGCAATTGTTTCATGACGACATATTTGTTGTAAATTAATTAACCGATACCAAGCCAAAGTAGAAACTCTTGTTTTAATTGTAGTGTTAAAAGTCAAAAGATATTTTCGGATATAAAAATTTGTTTAACTTACGATGTTAAAAATGAAGCTTTTTCATGACATTGATTTTCAACTTCATGTAAAATAGAATCGAATGTTAGACAGTCATATGTGCAACCACCAGAACCAGCAGAAATCACATGATAACATGTCTATAAATAATGAAATAAAAATCTTGATATCAATAAAAAAATGATTATTACTTCAAGTTGTGGCCAAAATGCATAAAGAATATGAAGAAGATACACTACTTGATCAGTACATTCAGTTGAATTCCAAATTTGTTGTTCCTTATAAAGAGTACATAGCATTGGCAGTAATGCTAATGTTGGTTTACTTATGTTCTATATTGAAAATAGAAAAAATTAATCTGAAATTTTCTAATTTTTAATATATGTGTATACCGCAGCCGAAATTGATGGACACGCCTTTGTGTGTGCCTGAAGTCGAGGATAACAGCTTTCAAGTGAACAAAATGAATGTCCAAGTTGTCGAAAAACATCAACAGTAAAACGAATATTATATTTTGTTAAATTTCCCAAACACCATTCAGCAGTTGAACAAAGTGTATTTAATTTTTGTACAATTATTCGATCGATAAGAGCATTATAAATATGTTGTAATGATTGAAATCCAATATTGGATTCACGTACTAATGAATACGTATGATTATCAAATGAATATGTTTCACACATATCATCAAGGTTCATATTTGAATTACATTGTTTTATACGAGAAAGTATATCAATATTACGATAATGATTGAATTGATCAACAAGATAACTAACTAGTGCATAAGGTGCTACGGTCATCGGTGGTTTTTGACTTGTAGCAGATGTTGATGATAATGAAAATGAACTGGATTGATTTTCAGAAGAAATTAAGCTCATATTATTGTTTATTTCAGACAAAGATGTATATTTCGTTGATAAAGCTGTTAGTATTGGAGATAAAGATGAATGTTGATATGTTGAATTCGAAATTTCTGTTGATAAAATGATTGTTAATGATTCATTCATAACAGAAGTAACGTCATCAGTGAGTCCCTCTAAATACATAAGAATTAAATATTAATATAGAAAATTAATTTTTTCAATATGCAAATTGCATAATAAAAAAGAGAAAGATATTACAATTTCCGAATCTTATGGATACAATTTTTTCAAAATAATTTCTGAAAAGTTGTTTTAATTAATCATCTGAACATAAATGAAAATTGTATAATATTATTATTTACATATTTTATTTGTAATGATTTTTTTTTATAATAAAAAAAAATAAAAAGTCTATTTCTATCTGATAAACGTTAAACGTTCTTAATATTTCAATTTTTTACTATCTTTTCGATCTTTCTTAAACTTATCAGAATATTATTCATTTACGTACCAAAATATTCATTATAAAACTGTGCATTCGTTCGCAGTGATACAATACACACGACGATGAATAATATGAAAATTCTATTTGAAAAGTGCATCATGAAATTTATAAGTGTAGGTCTGTATATTTCCGAATATAGATAAAACTGAAAAGAAACATGTCGTTGAAGAAACTCGATTAACTATTGTTTGTTTTTTATGTGCAACATATCGCACCAGCTGTTTTAATACGCAAAAGAGAATAAGGCATGATAAAGCAATTCTCATTTCTTCTTTGTTTCGTCGTTTGATGATTCAAATTAGCCATTAAACATTTTCTATACACTTCTGTCATCAACGAATTGCACTTGTTTCGAGAATGAAACATCCTTTTCTTATGTATTTTTTTGTCTTCAATCATACCGCATTATTTGTTCGTGTCGTTTACACTGTTGAAAACCGAAGAAACAATTAAATAAAAGATGCACTTGACTTAAAACTGAATTTTGATCTTTCAATAATATGAACATTATGTAAGGTGTGAATGAATAGACAGAAAAAGAAAAAGGAAATGAACGACACTTTTCATATTCAATTACAAAAAACATGAAGCAGCAGAAGGCAAAATAATAATAAAAAAGTTATAATAAGTTCATCGTAGGAACAACAACAACAATGATAGAGCATTATACATACGATAGATCATTATTCATGCTAAGTGAATTTTACTAGATAGACATTCATTGTCACATTTACATGCAGATGTTTTTTTCCAGGTGCCTCATGCTACTATCGACAAGACATCGTGCTGATAATGGTGTGTGATTTTTTAATTCACTCGAAAAAGAAAGAAATTGTATACAACAGAACAATAGGGTTTTTTTTTCTTTAGTTTCAATAGTGTAATGATGGGGAAATGGCAGTAGATGTTGTGTTTGTTGATGATAGTCCTCCTGTTCCAGTTGACATAAGTGTTGATGATGTTGTACTTGCAGTTGGACTAACCCAATACGATGATGATAAATATGGATTAGGCGTAGCAAAATTAGCTGCATAGTCATATGTACTTGGGTGATTCCAATAATTTGTATAAGATGTTGAAGCTGCGGCTGCTGCTGGATGATGATGATGATGATGATGTGGCATATGAACAGCTGATGATGTTGCTGCAGCTGAACTTAGTGCACTCCATTTAAAATAAGCAGCATGAGCATGTGATGAACGCATCATTTCTTGTTGATATTTTGCATAAGGTGATTCAGGTAATTGTGGTTGATTTAACTGATGTAAACCATTGAAATCAAATTTATATGCATAACGTTTACCATGAACTTTTGTCATAATATTTTTATCATAATAATAACGTAATGCACGTGATAATTTATCATAGTTCATATTGGGTTTAGATTTTCGTTCACCCCAACGACGTGCAACTTCATCGGGATCAATTAATTTAAATTCACCATTCGAACCTTCCCAAGCAATAATATTTGAATTTGCACTTGCATCAGCTAAAAGTTCGAGTAAAAATTGCCACAATTGTATTTGTCCAGTACCTAAAGAAATATAAATAGTTTTTAAACATTATTTAGAAAGAAAAATAGTTACCAGTAGCTCCTCCACCGAATCGATGGGCATTGTGAGGAAAAAATGATTGACTTGTAAAAGTTGAATAAGGATCTAAGAATCAAAAAAAAGAAAAAGAAAAATCTTATTTATTCCGAAAATTATTTCTTATATTACCTCTTAATCCTTGTGATGACTCAGATTTTACCAATGATGACCAAGATGATGATTGCTGTTGTTGATGACCATTATTCGAGCTACAGTCATTTCCTCCATTGCCACGTCCTGATCCATTATCATAATCATTTTTAACTCTTGAATCACCACCAGCATTGGTAGACGAATTGGATGATGATGTAGATGAGGGAGTTGTCGTTGTGTGATAGCCAACTAAAAACCAAAAAAAAAAAGGGCAATTAAATGAACATGATGTAGTACACTAACAATCAATTGTCTGATTGTCAATCGATTTGATTTAAGAAAAGAAGAAAAAAAAAGATTATTTTATTTAATTATTGTTGACTTTCCACAATATAGATAGTCGGAGAGACACAAACGATAGATAATTAAGGACCAAAAAAAACGAGCGGCATTTTATTCTTTCTTCTCCCACCCGCTGTTTCATTTTGACCATACACAAAAATAAAATAAAATGAGCAGAAGCAAATAGTCAACCATCATTCAATGACAACAAGTGTCTTACAACTATCTATGAACAGATGACAATTGATTATACAGATTCATGAACGATTGTATTTGCTATTATCAAAATTCTGTATATTACATGATTTTTTTTTACGATAAATTTCTTCTATCAAATTCATACAGTTTAAGTTCAATAAATATTGAAGTGTGATTAAATAAGACTGAAAAAAGTCTCGCAAAAGATGTGTCACTTTTATCGACAGCTTGTTTTGCTTACTTTTTTCACTTAAATACATTCGGTACCAGTAAGCACTTATATGTGAGCGAGAGAGAAAGTTTGCTATGCTTTCATTTCTATCTGTCTAATTATTTGCGCAAATCTTTCAAGAGCTCCCTAATCTTATATCGACACTTGAACTAAGCTAAAGAGTCAAGACAAATAAACTTTTCTCAAATGTTATCCTTTCTTTTTATCATGTTTTTTATATAAAGAATCAACTTACTGCTATTGGAAATATTCGATGTTGTACCACCAATGCCTATAGGTGTCCATGAATGCTTTGATGGTTCTAGACAATATATACAATATAACCATAATTCAAAAATTTTTTTTAACTAACATGAAAATGAATACAAATATTTTCTACATCGTTTTTATAGTCTCAGTTTTGTCTGATAGATTTTTCTCTTCCTTTTTCTTCTTTTCTTTTTTCGTTTTTCTCTATAAACGGATGTGCTCAACTTGTTGTACCATCGTTTCCTTCTTCTTTTTTTTGAAATGCGGCTCGAAAAATATCTATCAACGATATTAATTGTAATAACTAGAACGAAGCGAATACTAGTGGCAATGTCATCATTGCCGTTTCCTTCTTCTTTTTTTCAAAACGGAAAAACTTCGATTCCTGTTCGTGCGCTCAAACGCATGGACCGAGTTGAAGGCAGACGGAAATCTTGGCTTCCTTACGCAGAGCGAGTCGCTTACCAGTGAGCATGATGTATCGATGTTGTGATGTAGTATGCGCCTATGTGGTTGAGGGACGGACGAGAAGAGAGGACGCCTTTAAGTCCCGGACTTCCTTGAAATTGTGTTGACGACCGACGTAGAAAAGAACTTTTGCGGAAATGCAATGCCCGATTAAGAGAGATTGAATCTCCGTTGCCGTCGCCGCTATATTTCTTCGTGTAGGTTGACGATAACGTAGAAGTAGCAATGACGAATGAGGAGCAGAAGGAAGCAGGAACTGAGGCCTTTCCGTCTCTCTTTCTCTCTCTGTTTCTCTCTTTCTCATATGAAAAAAAATCATGACATGCATGTATGTCTTTCTGCATGCCCGCACGTCCAATGAAATTTTTTAACCAATCATAATAGGCGTTCTTCATTGAGACGAGCCTATCTACGTGTTTGGGTGCAAATAGAATGTCTGCTCGTTCTCTTTCTCGATGAACACTGAAATAATATAGAAAGAGAAGAACGATTGGGTGGATATAACATTTATTTGAAAATAACGAAATAACAACGTTTTATATGAGATTTTTTGTTTTTAAACTTCAATATATACTTTTAGCATCCAAATTTCTGAAATCTTATTTTTTGATCTTTATAGATTAAAAACAAAAAAGAATGAATTTGATTTTATCCAATGCATCACAATATTTTTGTTCAATAATTTTGAACGACAACGGAAATAGACGTCTCTGTCTCTCTTTCTTCTCGTTTGGTTTTTTCTCACTCATCGTTTCATTCAGTGCCTGTATCTCTCTTTTTCTTCTTGATTATACAAAGTTCAAGCATCAGCGTTTATTTCCTGTCTGATGACTGGATGACTTGGTTTTTTTAGATTCATCATGTCAGACTCTCTTTTTTTTTCTTTTTCTTTTTCTTTTTCTCCCTTTCTTCGTCGACATTCTCCCTCTGACATGTCTTTATGCGTTTGTATGTGTTTGGAAACATTAACAAAGTCTGTGCACATGCGCACACCCTGGTACGCAGAGAAAATTGATTTCCGGCACAGAGTTACGTTAATGTTGTGCATTACATTAAAGTTCGCCGTAATGGACAAAAAAAATAATATTTTCTTCTGCTATTAGATTTATGAGTAGCAATCAGATTTGAAAAGTAACTAACAGGTTCATGAGAAAAAAAGGCTTGACAAAAAAACATTGTATGTAAAAGATTTAATGAAGATCAGTAGTTGAATAACGGGCACAGACGAGCAAATGTAATTAGCATACTCCGCAAGAAGAATAACTACGTAGGTGGAAGAATGACGTTTTCAAATTGCATACGAAATGAGAGACATTTCCGGTGTCACTCAAGCAGCCTTTTGCTTGCCCGTTGAATGTCAACAACATATTGTTGTTTTTTTTGTTTTATTGACGACACGTTGGAAATCTAAATTAAGACTCGAGAACCTGTTCAAATAGAAGAAGAATATCTAAAAAGAAGGCTCATTATCATGCCAAATTTTACAATATTGTCAAAGCAAACT